TAATAGACAATCCATATGTAATAAAATTTATTTTGCAAGTAGATTTTGTTGCGAATTAGTATTTATTTAATTAATTAACAACAAAACAAATACTTTTATTAAACTCCTGTGAATAATTGCCTACAGAAGCTAATAAATTTATACAAATAGTAATTTCAAACTATGCTCCCTTATGCAAATATTTATTTTTATCAAAATTTTATGCATGTATACAATTTTAGGAATCTTATAAAAATAGTCTCATATGAATGTCTGAATAATATAACAGAATATCTTAAACATAATATATATTATATACATCTCATATATTATATAAGACTTACACAAATACAGGAACTTTAAGGCTTCCGTTCATATCAATGAGAAGTTTTCCAAAAATAATATTCTTTGCATTCATAGTTATTATGAAAATGTTTACATAGAAAATAATGATTATAAGTTCAACACAAAAGCACTTTATTTTAAACATAGCTCTCGAAAAATCTTTTTATTATAATAAATGAAACTTCACTTCACTTTATAAACATATAAAATGAAAAACAATTTATAAGACTCGATATATCTTTCTCTGAAAAATTGAAAGCATACTAACTATTCATGTATTCATAAAACACCATACATTCAAAAATGGTATAAATGGTATATATTATATATATTTGTATAAAATTTAACATATTTTCTGAGGGGAGAAAACACTTCTTTTATTTTCAAATTATAATGACTATTATTATACTATTATTATTATTATTGGCATTTATCATAGATTCACAAATAAATAGCAATAAAAATTATGTTTTCAATTCGCTTGAGATTTAATCAAAAATTCAAGACTTGTCTCTCACTCGACAATAAGACACAAAAAAGTTGACATTTGTTTTTGTTGTGACACTATTTTCAGGTATACACAAACACCTGCCAACCAAAAAAGCCGTGATTATTTAATAGTTTTTTATTTGTCGAGATGTAGGCGCGCACAGGTATATGTCACTGGTATGCCTGAATTTCTGTCACTCGCTTTTTCTGTCTAAAAATTTTGCGATAAATATATTTCAATGAAAATCAATTCCATTGAATGCTAAAGCGATATATTATTCTTGTTTTTTGTGTTGTTTTTGTTATGCATTAATGATGAGCCCATAAAAGCATAACAATGTCATAGTATTTAATTTTTACGGGAAAAAACTTATCGTAAATTGTTTTTCATTACACCAGTCGTTAGTCGCGATTGGATGTGACGGATAGGCAAACGGTGTATGAGTTTTGACCCCTAAAACAACACACGAAAACTGGTCACCCGTTTGATGCCACCAGTGATGAGCACTGAATCGGCAATAAATAATCGCTTCTATACTATGAGTTCACTCATAATTATTACTATTATATAATGATGTGTTTAAATATGTGTATATTTAGTATTATGTTCAGTACCGGTATAATATTATTGTGTTTGATTGTGTTTGGCATAACTAATTTCATTTGACATTTTTCGTGGATCTCTCTCTCTCTCTCTCTCTCTCTCATTAACAATGATTGTTATAATTATGATCACAAATGTATTAACTATGTGTGTTTTGGTGCTACAAAATATATCCGTTCAGTGAAAATGTGTGACAAAAATGTATTTTCACATTTACATATATTATGTTATCTTTGTAATTAAATATGTGTTTAATGAATACGAGAAATGAAGACAAAAAGCCTTTTGATTCAAATTTGTTTTATGATAAAAAATGAAAAATATCTC